GACACAAGCGTCAGTCTGCCTTTTTTCAAGATCCAGTGAACAACAAGGACAAAATACTTGTGTCAACTTGTGTCGGTAAATGGAAAGCACCGAGAATGACGCGATTTTTCATATCGAAGAGTGTAGGCCGGTCGTGTGCCAGACGGACCCACGATCTATGAGTCGCATCGCGTCCGCTCGCCACTGCCGTATGTAGATCTCGCGAGCAAACGAAGACGAAACGACGGCAAAGTAGGACGAGGAGAATTTATTGTCGCAGCCTCCGCGCATACGAGACTGGAACGAATAATTCGACTGCAAACGGGGATTCATAAATAGTCGACGATACAGTTACGTCCGCGCGGAAGGTATACGAGAAGAAATATTTAAGAAGTAATAGCCTGTGAAGAAATTAACGAATAGGGAATATCTGTAGGCTTGGAAAGTATGAAAACAAAACAGTGTGATACGTGCACTAGGAATCACTGATGCCTTCCCATATAAATTTAGACACATGTAGAACACATATACATTTTCCACGTATGTATAAATGTGTACGTCTATACTCATTCCAATTTAATTTCAGCACCGTAAATATTTCTTTTATTACATGCAATTCTTTTCAGTTCTCTTTCGTATTTACTCATCTTAGTTAATATTATCTTACTTAATATAAGTTTTTTGTTGTATATTAATGACACAAAATTTTAAATGTTTCACGTCTAAATTAATACTTACAGCTGTTTAATACTACCCGGTCAAAATTTTTGCAAAAATCATGCATGAATGTATGAAATTATATAAAAATATACATCAAACATGTCCATACATATTTTTTAAAAATTTGTCATATAAAAGCATGTATAAATCTATAAAATTATAGATTTATACATTATACAGACAGAACTGTATAGAATTGTATAAAATTATATAGAAATATACAATGTAAAAATATGTATGGACATATTTCTTATATAACTTTATATAATACCAAATATTTATGCATACTCGTGCATGAAAAAAGTTTTTACCGGGTATAGAAAAGTACTTGAGACAAATCGACAATTTGTTGAGCCGCCTGTTGCTTTAACGACGTCTCGTCGGTTTGTCGATATTATATCCTAGCTTTCACTATTTTACACACTCAAAAAGGGCTCATTCTGTTACCGAGACAAAAATGTTCTTGACGCATTTATATTTCTCACAACCTCATTTAGTATAAAAATAAGACAGTATCAAAAAATAATTCTTATTCTCCTCTATCGAATTAAAAAAAGATTGACTTACTATATTGAGACAAGAGTAACTTATATAAATGTGAGTTTATATATTCTTGCGTTTAAAATAAATTTTCCCTCCATCTTTTACAACGCATAAAGTTGACACCACGATATACGACAAAAGACGATATTATTTTATTCTAGATTTTAGAATTTTTCATTTAAGATTAAAACATTTATTTCTCTCTATAATAAATATGATTAGCGCTATGTCGATCCTATTTTATGATACATTCAAGTGTAATAGCATTGGATCCGAAAATTTTCTTCTGTGGGTGTACACATAATACAGATTAGATACAATATAGTAGCGAAATACATTTTGCTTTTTTATTTTTAATTCATTATTATATGAGCAAAACTTGTGTAATAATTGTGGCTTTTTTTATGGTAGAGGATATAAATATTCATCGCGATATCATTACAATTGTTTATGAAAGTAATTATTCATTAGATTTCTCACTGGGAATAGTAACTCGCGTATCGAATATTACACCGGCAGGTTTTTAATTAACCTTTATATTGTTCTGCTCGCGATGAAAAATTTATGACGTTGCAATATCGCGATGCATTACGTCTACGATAAGACAAAGGAGTCCGCCCGTAAATAAAGGCATTGAGTTGTAAGAGGGCGAAATCGGTGACGCGTGCCTGGCCGATTTCACTATTAATTAGTATTCATAATCGTGCGCGGACGGCGAACGGGATCAATGTACGATCGAAAGTCTCTTTCTTCCTTTCGCGACGTTGGTTCGCTTTCCTTGGCGTCGAGCGGAATGAATGTCATTTCGGAGATACTTTTTCACGGCGCGGGGATTCCCGGTAAACGGCCGTTTCGAGATGGATTCGAGATTATCGGTGCAGCGCGAGCTCTTCGATCATATCGCCGCGCGTAAAATCACGCACAACGGACGATGGTCAGCCAAGTATCGCGCTATCGGAGCTTAGAAAGTCGAGGAAAACGTTGCCGGTTGCATGCGAACTGGTCGACTCCCACGCCATACTTACGGGCACTTGCCGTTCTTACGTAAATACTCGCGGGGCGCGTTATCGTTCGCCGATCGTCGATCGGCTCGGGCGAGGAAGGCGGAGGTGCAATTAAATTCACACTCGAACGAAAGTGAGAGCGTGGTCAAGGCCCCCTCCGGGATATATTGTCTAAGTATCTCCTTAAATTATCTCAAGACGACTTGGGGGGGAGCGCGTGTAAACTTTATCCCGTTGGATCAATCGCTTCAGTCCCTTCGAACGAGCTGAAACGAGCCGACGTCATCGTCCTTTCCTTCTTCGCTCCTTGGGCGCGCGTTACGAAATCCCGTCGCGACGGGGGGAGAAGAATTTCACAATGGCGAACAGAAATAGTACACTCGGCCGTACGACGCGGAAAGCGATAATTGACGACCATTATTCGGCGTGGCGCCCGTCCGCGAATGTCGGTTGCCGCGTCCTGCTAAAATAAAAGTGTTACGTGCCGTTCACTGGGAGAAAAAAGGAAAATAAACCGCAACTGGAGCGCCGCGCCTTTTCTCCTTCCGTTCGCCGCGCAGGAAATGATCTCCCGTCTGAAAACGCGCGAGTCATCGCGCCGCTTTGATAGATCGATCACGATTGTCCCGCAGCGGACACGAAAACGGGCGGCGCGGGCACTTAATTGGTCCTTTACGTAACCCTCGCCTTTTCGCTCGCCTTTTCGCGGGCGAATCAAAGTCACCTCGCGCGCCCTTTTTCCTCCCCGTACATCCTACGGAGGACGCCAAACTCTTCTTCTAGGGGCAGAGGGACGTTTGAAAAACGATTGATACGAAGCGATCGATCAGCGCCGAAGACGAGGCGACCAGGCGCTTCGATTATTCTCTCCTTTCAACCTTCCTTTTAACGCTAATCAAATTTGTCGAGATGAGAATTAAGCGAACGTTTAAAGAAACGTTTACGAGGCTCGTTTGATTACGACTCTGTGGCTGCTCTTTGTTCCAGCTGCAGTCGCGACGGCGTTTCACAACGCGGAGCAATTAAGTTTCATTAAAGAATATTGGCGGACAGCGAGCGGTTTAATCTAGCGCGCGCTAGCATGTTGCGAAGTATCTATAAATGAATATCGACTTGCGTGATGCTTGATATCACGACGCAATTCGCATAGGCGCAGACTCGCTTTCGAGATCGCCTCATTATTTCCCTTCCTCTTCTTCTCCGCGAAATGTTTCACGAGATGTCTCGCGACAGCGAGGATTTATTTCATTCGTGAGTCGTATCATTTCCGCAAGCGTACGCACAGTGATGGACAGAATGGTTGCGACACTCGTTTTTTTTTTATGAGTTTGGGAACGTGCATTTCAGGGTTACGTTCCAAAATCTTCTTTTCCGAGAAATATTTTCCTCGGCGGCCGTTCCGAAATCATTTTAAGAGTTTTCGATCTATTTCTCAAGTAAAATTTTCCTCGGAGAAAATGTTTTGGATTTTGGAACGTAAACCTGGGGGTCAATTCTGTATCTTACAATCGCTGAAAAAACAACGTTCGATACAGTAGCTCTAATCGTGGTTTGCTAAAAATATTTTGCTGCCATAACTATAAATTTATAAACTACTTCAAACGGTTTATACTGTCGCACCTAATACAATAGACACAGTGTCAAAATATTTAGTTATCACAGCTAAATATTAGTGTGTCCATATTTTACAATTGAAATTCAGTTGCCACGTGCAGTTTTTAGCTGTGGCAGCTACATTTTTCTTTCCGTGATATAGCGAAAATTATAAAAGTGAGCAGCTTTCCCTAGTAGCACAATATATATCGGCGCAATATTGGAAAATACTGTAAATCTATTATAGTATTCCCAATATTGGTCCGATATTGTAAGATGGACGCCTTTTCTTACTTAGCCAATATTTAGCAATATTGGTCCAATATTAGACCAATATTGTTATTGCATTGTTATTGGCCAATGCACTTCCAATATAAATCTAATATTATATAATGATTATCGTGCAATATTTACATTTATTCCATGGCCGATATTGGTTTTACGTTGAACAATATCGGCCAATGCATCGATAATACAACCAACATTGGACCCAATGTTTAGCCAATGCACTGTGCTACTATAAGGGTTGTCTCTTTCTAAAGTTAGCGAGAGGCAAAGCTACTCATTGTTAGCATTTTCACTATAGTTTAAGATTGACCCCCTGAATCTAATTCAGCGTTCCTAAACTTATTAAAAAAACTGTCGCAGCCAGTCTGTCCATCACTGTACATAGAGAACGTCGCATTTCACAGATGACGAACAGGTCGCACAATTCCCGTCTCGCCGACCACTCGCCGCATCCTAAACAGCTCGAAACGCGCGCTTCGTACCTTCGCAGATCGCCGGTGACGCCACACGTGAGACGAGATTTTTAAGTCCGCCGAGCTTTACGAGCGAGGTTTCATCTCGTAATAGCGGCACGGGGGTAACCGCGAGACGATAAAATCTGAATACCGGCCACTTCCACGTCCGTACGTGATTGTACATGACGAATCTTCTTTGCCTTGTTCCCGTCACGCTATCTAAATCGATCATTTCGCGAGGACGTAAATCGCGGAAATTGTCTCGTTCGGTCGCAGCGAGTCACGAGAGATCGTTACCGTCGATGTACTTAGAAACGAGAGGTTCAAGGAAGACAATGCCAGCTCGATGCAATTAATTAATAACAATAATACGTATTAATTAATCGATACTAATCGACTGCTAGGCGTTAGAACGTACCTGAGACTCACGGGGCAACGAACACGCGATCTCGCTGGAGCCAGCGCCTCGGACGATCGTCCACGATTGTCGCCTTTTCTCTATCCGCAGAAATCCGCGATCGTTGTTCTTGCTCGGCAAACGGATCACTCGGTCTTTTTATTATGTAACGCGCGGTCCATTCGTCCGCGTGTGCGCGAGAATCGCGCCGATCGGTACCATTCGCGGCGAGGAACAAAACGTGATCGCGGCTCCGTGTGCACTGCAGCCAAGGATCGGGTGAAGGTAATGAAATAGCTAAGTGAAGCGATCGCCGTCTCTCTTTCTCTCTTGTTCTTCCCACGTGCGGCTTCCACCACTCCTCGCGCCACGGGGTACTCGATTGGTCGCGTATCTCTCGTCCCCGGCGGCTTTTAAATCCTTTTCGCGGCGCACGTGGCTCGGCGGAAACGCACCTGTCAAGCGTATCTTCTCGCAAACAAGGTCAATTTTAACAATGTGCAATCTCCAGTTTTGATACACGTCCGTTCTTACGTCTCCGAAAAATTCACTTTACGTCGTCGCGTACCGCTCGCGCCTCAAGCGCGCAGTTCTCCACTAGTGTTTTGAACGCGTTACGAGGATCGTGCTTGCAAATTGAGTTGTTTTCCCTCAATGCCGCGAGGAAGTTGTCGCTGCTCCGCGAATGCGCTCCTAGATTGGCTTCATCTGTCTACGCGATTAGTGTAATGGCCGTGTACCTCGTAATAAAGTCAACGTTGCCGCAACGACGGTGACCATTGAATTTCTCGCAGATATACCAGGATGACATCTTTCGCGTTCCCGATGCGTGTCCGCGATAAGAATACAGTTAACTTTATGTTCTGGCGAAGGACAACGAAGGCTCTGAAATTCAAGTGATAATTGTGCCTGTACCCTGACATATTCTTTATAGTTTTCATTTCGCGGTATAATTTCTATTGCGCAATGCCGTTTACCGAACGTAATAGACGAAATTACGTTATTTATAATACACACTGGAGCCTTACACGACGATAGCGAGCGGAAATTCCTTGTCAAAATTAAGAATGGCTTTCTCTTTGTGTTGAAATTCTTACTCGTCGCAGAAAAATTAGATATGAAAAGTTTGTACATGTTCCATGTAGAAAATTGAAATCTTCAACGTAAATAGACCGCAGCTACAAATCCTTACCTGCGTTTCTTTAACGCAGGAAGAAGGCAACTCGAGCGAAAATGGCATTTGACATTTGGCATCCAACTGTCGCGCGAATCCGGCGGTTTCTCGCAAAATCGAGAAGGGACTTCGCTTCCTCTTCCTCTCCCTCCCCCCTCCCTCACTCTCTTTCTCTCTTTCTCTCCTTCTCGCTTCATTTTCACCGCCGTTAACCCAGAATACACACATCCGTCTTCTCCATTATCTACGTTTTTATACACGCCCTTCCCCTCCCGCCAAAGCCAGCAATTCCGGCAACAATAAAGCGTAGTTTCCCACGAGAAGCATCTGTGACTCCCGATCTAATTAGTTTGCTCGTCGCGACCTTTTTCTAGCTCATTAATGTTAATTCGAAACAAGCGTGTGCGTGGCGTGTGCATTAGTGTCTTGTTTTCGCGTAGAGGTGTAAAAAACTGGAGTGTTTCTAGAATGTGGGATAACCGAGGAGGCCGGTATTCGAATTAAAAGGCAACAAGAATTAATATTTTAATATTGCATTCAATGTGCTTTCAACGAATCCAAGACGAATAATTTTCTTAGTTTCCGTGTTGAGATTATGATAAAAAAAAAAAAAGTGGTCGACTCCTGCCCTTTGCAAGGAAATTCCTTTGCAGCAGCCACCTCCATCGCGAGGAATCTAATAATAAGTTCAATTCTGCGCGCGACAAAAGCTACACAGGCGGGATTATTCTTATAAAGGAAGAAAAAAAACATTAATCAAGTCTAATAACAGAGAATAAGATGTGGAATGTGGGTCGACACATATCCTTGCGCGCGGCATTGTTCACGTATGCGTGCGTTAAGCGAGGCGCTATTTTAATTATTGTCTCGTCTAACGGAATCCGCTTTGAGAAAATAGCCGGAAATTGTTGGCGTTGGCGCTTACGGGCAAAAGCAATCCGCGCTGCATTCGCGGCGCGTCCTCGGTGCACTCGCGACGGATGCCACGCCGGGGACCGACACGACAATGCATTCGTGGACGCATTCCGCGAAGCCGCGCGGAAATCAGAGCGCGCATCCGTCGGTTACCGGCCGCGGCGTCTACGCGTAAGCGCGCAAGGTAGAAGGTCGGAGGTGAAGCGGACAATAGGAAACGATGCGGTCGCGGATGGACGCGTCAAACGAACGCAAATGGAGGATACGATCGTTAACTCTGTCCGCGGATCGAACGAATGACACACCGCGCCTCCCTTTGTTCTCTCCCGCGCACTTAAAAAAATAGCATACTCACCCAGTAAGAACACTAACGTCGAATCGACGTCAGTGGGGTCGAAACCGCGTCCCAACCGTCAGTTTTCGAAAGTAATTGAAAGTTTTGGAACTTAATTTTCTGTATTTCTGTATTAAATAAGTTGACCTGGCAGTTTTCTCCGATAAGATCTTCAAAGTACTCAGAACGTTGAACGTGGTAATTTAATACAAAAAATTAAGTTCCAAAACTTAATTATTTTCGAAAACTGACGGTCGGCCTGAGCGCGCGAAATCTCAAGCCTATATCATTTGTGAGATATAATCGCTTATTATTTAAATAACTATTATAGCCTCGACACTTTTTTATTAGAATTTTTTACTTGAAATTTTCTCAAGAATCTGTGATTGAAAGGACATTCGGTAGTTTTAGTACACCCGTATATCTCAGTTATTTTTTGTCCATGTTTTTTCGTACCCAGAAAAGTGCTGCTGCGGTTGCAGGATGATTTTTTAAGTGTATACCTACTGTCTGAATTTTTAGGGGTTGAATCTCACTCTTTTAGAGTGAGATTTCACTCGATGAAATAATGAAAATACTGCCAGTCCGAATGGAGTGCAATTTCACTTTTTGAAAGAGTGCCGTTATTTATTCTGTACTTGGATTGATTCTCCAACACTCCGAAAAGAGTGTTTTACTTCAATCGATTATCGTTAGCAATATAAAATTCATGGACGAGAGCTTCGCTATTGTTTGTTCACTATGATCATCGCATATATAGGCTGTATTTTAATATTCACAGCCAGTATTAAAAATCCATAATTTATGCGACAGTTTCGCTCATTCCGCTGACCGTCGCGGAAGAACCGATCCGGTCTCTGATGGGGTTCCTCATACGCCGCACTATCGTGGTCTTATTCACGAGTTCGGCGGCCATCTAGTGGCGGAATGCACTTTACGTTGGAGTGAATTTTGCAACGCTAACGACTCCACTTTTTGTCTCGGAGTGAATTAATTCACACTATCGGAGCAAATATTTTCGCTCGAATAGAGTGGTCGGTGACACGATGATTCGAGTGAAAATTTCACTCGAAAAGTTTTAGAAAGCATAGCTTTTTCCCCTCAGCTCGATGCGAGTTTCCGCGTTTTCCTCGGCCGTCACGGCCGCCCGCGTCGGACGAGACGGAAATTAAAAAGCCGCGCCGCGAACGACACCGTGGGTGGACTCTTCTTCTTCTTTGTCTTCTTCTTGGCACCCGGCTCTAACTCAGAGCCGACACGGCCACGTTTGTGTATTGCTTAGTTTCTAATAATCGGTAACAAGCAAATTAAGGCCGTGCAACCGACCTACCGCGAGTCGAGTTACACGTAGGTGAAGAAAGTCAAAAATTTCGCAACTGGGCAAGAATCGCACGTTTTCCTTGGCGAAGCGAAGGCTCTGCGTCCGCGATGTTGGAGCCTGGTCCACCGTGGGTGGACATTACGTTACGCGAATCGGGATGAGAGACGAGCCCGCGAAATAACAGATCATTACGACTCGGCGCGAGCGCGTAATGGGCACTTACCGACTTCGGCGCGGTCGTAACCGCCGCCGAAACGCACGGCTTCTTTTACCTCGTGTGTTTTATGCGATTAGCTCGCGCGCACGACAAAGTAATTGCGTGTGATCAACGGGTCGTGGCTAATTTGCTTATCGCAATTATCACAGCGAGGCCGGGAAAGCGGCTAATTAAACGCTCGCGGTGGCTCTTTATTATTTTCTTCTCTCTCTCAGGATCTTGTTATTAAACGCGTGAGAAATTGCCAATTTCATGTTGGAAACGTAACAAAAGCGGCCGCGATATTATTCATATTGTTAACATTATCGTAACAATTGACAAGCGGCGCTTTAGCTGGACAAAGTCTGCCGTGACGGACGAGAGGCGTAGGTGAAACAACCAAGACGCGCGGAGTGAAAGCACCCGCTTCGAAAGAATCGCGGCAAATTTGGCGCGCATTAATTATCCATCACGCGAACCATTCATTCGCGAATCACTCGAGCGCCGCTCGAGGCTCGAGCGATCCCCCCGCGCGCTGATGTATTATTTACAATGCGGAAGCTCGCTCGCGCAACGTGCGAACACTCGGTGCTTTCCATTTACCGACACAACTTGGCGCAAGTGTGTCATTTTATCCTCGTTGCTCGCTGGATGCTGAAAAAAGACAGACTGACGCCTGCGTCGTCTCGTGTCGCTAAATGGAGAGCACCGACTGGCGAAGACGCCGCGAGCTCTCAGGACGTGCCCTCCCCGATTCTGAAGACCGGGTCTGGCCTGTGTACACGGAATCGGGCGGGGCGATTACACGGCGCACTCCTCCGAGGAACAATCCGGCGCGGCGGAAGCGGTGTCCGAACCACGGCCGTCGTAAAAGAGGCCGCAGGCCTCGTGAAAAAGAGTCGTTAACTCGAGTAAAGGCCACGACGAAAAAAATCGTGCCACTTCTTCAGGCCGCGGCGCGGCGTGTCGCGATCGTCCGGACCGCAACTAGACCGGATAAAAAAACCTGGCCGCGAATCGCACACCTTCGTGAGCACAAAGACGAGCTCTAAAATTGTTTACTTAGGAACGGATTGCCTCCCGGCTTTCGAAGCGGAACAACCGCGCCTCTTGCATTATCGACGTGCGTCGCGCAAACGCGCCTTTGTACCGTCGAATCGCACCCGCCACGAGGGAGTCCGCGAACAAGCTGCCCTTCGCAATGTGACAACGGATTGACAGCAAATTTGCTCAGATATCGAAACGGACCCTCGTATCCGTGTCTACGTTAATCTCGCGATGTATAATTTCTAACAACCGGTTAATTGCCGGCAGAAACCGAACGGACGGATTTCGATTATGTTCTTGTTAGCAGATTCCGCTTTACTTATTTCTGCCGGAATTCTGTCGACGAAACTCGCGTCGCGGGCACTTTCAAAAATTTGGCTGACCAGCGTGTCGCGATAATTACGCGGATGTTGGGGACAAATTAAGTATATTGCGAAACCGGGATGGGAAGGGCTGAAGTAGCGGCGACCGGTTTTCGCGCCGACAGCGGCGGCTGGCGGTGCGAGGTGCACCTTCGAGTTCAGCTGGAGCTGAAATGGAAAGCGATTTTAAAACCGCCGGGCAATCACGTTATTACTATATCGCCTTTCCCTTCTATCGCCTCGGGTAAGCGAGATATAAATCGCTTGTACGCGCGCGATATACCCGGCGGTACCGGCGCGGTACCGGCGCGGCACGTAATTAAGTCTGTATTTTCGATGTAACGAACGAGCGAGCCTCTCGCAACCCGCGCATATCCTCCACGAAAGTTAGACCGACGATCTAAATTACCCGAGCAATGACGCGCTGCGAGTTTTGTAACACTTTCCGATAGCATTGGCTTGTTATATGATCGACAGGTGGACGGCGATAAATAAATGTGCTATTCTGCAAGCCAAGGAAATAAGGGTTGCTTTAGCTGCTCTCTAAACCCTGGCGAAAATTTTCAGTGAGAGATGATGTTTATATTTATTCATGAAGAGTTTTATCGATAGTCACATTGTTTACGAAGAGTTTTATCGATGGTTACGCCGTTTGGAAGTACGTTGCAAACACCTGGTTAATTCTTTACTGACAATAACGTTTTACAAACGCTTAGAAAACTATAATGGAAACGTTTGACGTTGTATCATTAAACGCAATTTCAACACGTGTAACCGTGAACGTGTCATAAAAAACTCCATGTTTAAATTTATATCTCACAAACAATTCAATAAGTCTTTTAAACCTCAAATAAAACAGTGACCCTACATTTAAACAAACTTGTTATAAACTAATTTAATATTAATTTGGAATCAAACTAATCAATCATCTGCCAGCCTAATGTTGCTCTTCTTATAAACTTTTAATAAACATATTATTTTCGTCAGGGAAAAGTCAATCGGTGGATTATCACTAATTCACAGTTGGAAGTATAGCAGTCTGGCATATCTGTTTTCAGTGATACCTAATGCACAGCCCAGCGAGAAATGACTCGTCGATCGATGTTAATTTGACAGTATTCTGCCGTCCTAATTCTAGCGGAAAAAATTTCTATAAAGAACTACAAAAAATTGACTTGAAATAGAAATTTGTATATCTTCGTTGAAACATTTATTCTTGTAATAATATCAAGAAATTATTGCAAGTAGTATTTTATAAAAATGTACAATTTTGTGAAAAATAGTACAAAAATTTACTAGTTCAAACAATTTGAGAAACAAAATCTTACAGAATTAAAACATCTGTTTACTTGTAGAATATTACAAAAATTAACAAAAGTGTTCCAATTCTAGCATTTTCATGTTAATTTTTATAACACTTTACGCAGAGTTTCTTAGATTCTGGCAGTTATATTTATTTAATTTTTTTGTAGAATTTTGTAAAATTATTTCCGGCAGGGAACTTAGAAAGCCGTGTCTCCCGGACTGTTAGTTTCGAGAAAACGCACATTTAAGTTCTTACAGCTAGGCTACCACGAAAAATGTATTAATTCTGAAATAAATTCTACATATTAAAGCATTTCTTCTCTATTTCAATAATTTTACATTGCCATGACATATTTTTTGTTAAAAAAGTAGTAAATTGATGGTTACTACTTTTTAGTGAAGCATGTCATTTTGACATATTTCTCTAAGAAACATAGAAAGTGAGCCAGTTAACAATGGCCAATAAATGGAGATACTGCTTTTTAGATTAGGACGGCAGTATTGATGTCGATTCGACATCGTTTCGACGAATCATTTCTCACTGAGAGATTGACTTTTAGAAATTGGTAATTTATCTTTGCTGAAAATAAACCCTCTGTTCATCTTGATAAAAATATATACGGAGAAAAGTTTCTTTGAAAATTTATCTTGAAAATTTTATAATTGTGGGACAACGCGGCATTTCAAAGAATGTTATCAAAGTTTTTTGAAATTTTACCATGCACTTCACTAGTAATTATACTTACTGTTAGTATATATTTTACTAATAAAATGTATGGTAACTTTTCAAAAAACTCGTAAAGTTGTTCAAAATGTCACGTTGTCCCACGATCGATACGATTTTCAGGATAAATTTTAAGAGAAAATTCTCTCCGTGTATCTTTATCCTCTGTAACGTATCACACAGAATCGGATTCTGTTTCGCGTTTCAGGAAGAATACGTTTCCGAGAACATCAGGTGGACGCCAATAGACTATTTCAATAATGCCATCGTGGTGGAGCTTCTCGAGGGCAAGAGGCCACCCGGCCTCTTCCTGGTCCTCGACGACGTGTGTGCGACGTTGCACGGCGGAAGCACGGGTGCCGACGATGACTTGAAGAAGGTATCCGCGGCGCGGCGCGTTTAAAAGTTTTACAAATTAACGTAACGTATAATAAATTATCGTATCCGCAGAAACTGGCGGGAGCAACCAAGCAGCACGCCCACTTCCAAGACACCAGCGACGGTTTCGCAATTCTCCATTACGCCGGCGTGGTATCCTACTCTGTCGATGGGTTCTGCGATAAGAATCGGGACGTCCTCTTCTTGGACCTGATCGAGCTGATGCAAACCAGCACGAGGTAAGCGATCCCGAAGGCCGTTAGCGTACAACTATCGATTGTCCGCGTGACAAATTATTCCGAAAGTTCGCGTAAGTAATCCGCTTGACAAGAATTAATCAGCCCGCATTCACGTTCCGGCCGATTTCGAATGTCTGATGACGAGAGCGCGAGACTAGAGAAGGCTGACTAAGGCCCGGTTTCATCAAACGTCGCTTAACTATAATCTTAGTTTAATTCGTATTTGTCTCTTTCCTAAAGTAACAGTTGAAAAAAGACAAAGAACGAATTAAACTAAGCTTATGGTTAAGCGACGTTGGTGAAACCGGGCCTAAGAGTCTATCCAGACAAACTTGCATAGCACATCTAACATATGCGTAAGGAATCTGATTGGGCCATAAGTGCATGCGTAAGGAAATAAACCAATCAATTTCTTTATGCATATGCTTACGCACTTATGCAAGTTTGTCTTGATAGACCCCAAAGATAAGTAATCGATGAAGAGTAAGGAAGGCTAATGTGAGCCGTACGAAAAGATTGAGTCGTAGTCTTTTTCCGTCGTCAATGACATTTAAAATTAAAATTCAAAAAATTCAGAACGTTGATTCACAAACGTTTCGATCCCTTTCAGATCATCTTCAATGTAAATTAAATCTCTACAAAAGTTGAAAGAAGTAACATGCAATGCGTTGGAAACAAAACGGAATAAATTTAAAAAAAATACTAACCGTAATAGGAGAAAACGAAAATTAATTAATTAATAACGAAACTTACCGGGTCTCTCGAGAGAAAGATAAATAAAATTCAAGGTTCCTTTTCAAACTCGCGGTAGTTTCGATATCAATTGTATTGAATATTTTTCGATAACCCGAACTAATGCAGAATAGTGTTTCAAGTTAACATTTGCAGTCGGTTTCTTGTCCAGCTACTGAAGACCATTACGTAAATGACTTAACATAACCGTCACGTAATTCAAAACCACCGGTCAATTACGCGAGTTTATTTATATAAGAACTGCATATGCGAAATTTTTCAACAGATACACGGAAATTGCCAATAAGACTTTACTCTAATCTACAATGTGCTTTCTGCATCTAAAAACATTCTATTTTATATAAGCAAAACAAAACGTTTAAAAAATTTGTCGACAGTGTACGATTACTCAATGTATAATATATAATTTATCAACTTGCACAATTTTTTAAATCGTATTTATTGATTATACAAAATAGAATGTTTCTAGACGCAGAGAGCACATTGTAGATTAGACTTTTAGGTCGAATTAATGACGCGATAAACCTTCAATCCAATCGTCGCTTATTCCTCTCTAGAAGTATTCTATAGACGTATTTGAAAATTTCTTCAACGCTGCATATAATAAGTATTGTTGCAACAACGGCTGAACTTGAAAAGGTAAAGAAAAGAGGATTTTACCTTACAGTTCCTTGGTGTGTGAGCTTTATCCGCGAGAGAACGCCGGCAAAACGAAAACCCTCAAGTCCAGGCCAACCACCGCGGGCAGTAAAATCAGAAATCAAGCCAGTCGCTTGGTCGGCCAGCTGATGAAATGCACGCCGCATTACATTCGGTGCATCAAGCCGAATGAAACGAAGAAACCGCGCGATTGGGATCATCTGAGAGTCAAGCATCAGGTATAGCTTGTCTAGTGGCATTCGCATTTATCACAAACATTAACTTCATACTTGGACCGAAGTCAATGGATAATATTTGTAAACCCTCGGGCACATAAAGCACGAAGGTAAATGAGAAAACAAAGGGATTTTCTATATACAGTCTGGTTTATCTCAGCTTGAGCCCGACAATGTGTCATTCCAGCCAAGTGTGTCAGACAAATACGTTCAGAGCAATTATACGTAACGTTTCTTTCCTTCTTTGGGTAGCGTTGAAATTTGTTTCGTTCGAGAAAGTCAATACGGCACAGTTCCTGTAGCTCATTGTTAGAATGGTAATCGCTTTAATATGCAGATTTCACGAGTGTTCTGGAAATACAATCGCGTACGTCGTGCACCTCGATCGACAATTATTGAATAAAAATCGATCGCTTTATCGCTTTATCGCGGCCAATTTTAATTTTTAAACGAATCGTCCGTATTGCCCACCGTAACTGTACAAAATTACTCAAGGAATCTAAATATTCTAGGTGGAGTATCTAGGTTTGAAGGAAAATATCAGAGTGCGCAGAGCTGGCTTTGCCTACAGGAGGCCGTTCGCCAAGTTTCTGCATAGATACGCGATTCTCACGAAAGAAACGTGGCCTCGTTGGCCCGGCGATGAGAAACAAGGCATAGAATGGATATTGGGAAGCATTCATATCGATCGATCACAATATCAGCTCGGCAGATCGAAGCTCTTTATCAAGGCGCCTGAAACCGTGAGCACATACATCTGTTATTTTAACAATAATGCGATTAGTTGAGTTTTGCCAGCAGATTAATTAGAGGATATGTTACTTAGCTCTTCATGCTGGAGGAAGCGCGTGACCGGAAGTACAACATATATGCGCGAGTCATTCAGAAAGCCTTCAAGAAGTACTTTGCCTGGAAGAGACAGGCGCAGCAGAAACAGGAAGCCGCTGATCTTCTCTTCGGCCACAAAGAGCGAAGACGGGCGAGCCTAAACAGAAATTTCGTAGGCGATTATATAGGGCTGGACAGCAAGCCGCAGATGATGAGTTTAATCGGAAGACGGGAGAAAGTATTCTTCGCCGAAGTCGTGAAAAAATATGACAGGAGATTCAAGGTAAAAACGTTAATTCCTCGACAACTTCAATATCCTTTCATTTGCGTTCTGTAAAAATCATTCTATCGTAATTTCAAGGAAATCCATTTGATGATATTTCATGACATCGGATTTTTTTTCATTTCCTAACTTCTTAACTTTCTAAACGTAAGATTTAAGCACTTGCGCACGACAAGTAATTTTGTGTGACAGATGTGCAGAAGAGATCTCGTCCTCACCGGGAAATGCCTCTATTTGATTGGCCGTGAGCAGATAAAGAAAGGCCCCGAAAAGGGCACGTCCATCCAAGTTATTAAAAGGAAGCTTCAATTTAATCAAATCAGCCACGTATCATTAAGCAAGCTACAAGTAACTATTATTTTACGATTCTGGGCTAACAGTATACTAGCTGGGCGCATTTTCACGGTATTTTCCATTGCAGGACAATTTCATAATAATTCACGTAAAAGAGGACTACGCCAGCTTGTTAGAATCAGTATTCAAGACGGAGTTTTTGTCCGTTCTGAGTAAAAAGTATCTAGAAGACACCGGCCATCTTTTAAACGTCAGGTTTAGCAACGAGTACGGTTATTTCTCATACTTTCCATACGTTATTGTTAACGTACGCATGGAAATTAAACTATTCACTTTCAGCTTGGAGTTTAAAGTGAAGAAGGAAGGTTGGGGCGGTGGTGGAACGAGGCATGTGAAGTTTATACAAACGATTTACGGCGATAAGGATATTTTAAAAATATCCGGCAAAATGCTCAGTGTCAGCATCGGTCAAGGTTTACCGAGCACATCGAGTAAGTTTCAGTAGGCGATTCTCGATTTTGTTACACGCGAAAAATATCGCAATATCAGTTGTGGAGAGGAAAGTCCCCTATTGTGAGATAGCCTCCTAATATGAGATAGCGGAGTTTCTGCTAAATTAGTAGGCATTATCTGTTGGTTCCACCATGAATTTATTGCCCTTGGAGTGAAATCCGTTTTGTGGAAAATTGATTGTTGGATCGTGTAATCGTTGCGAAAGAAAGATTTGTCATCGAATTTGGACGTTGGAAACCTACTATCTCATAATAGAGGGCTTTCCTCTTAATAATTAACTAAGAAATATATAAATCTGTATCTTTGACTTGTCAGAGCCTAATGCGGACCGACGGATGTCATCCGCTCGTTTGCACAACGTCTCGAGACAGAGTCGTCCAGCACCGCGATTGTGCGACTTAACTCCAGTCCTCGTAGCTCAGAATAATCAGACGATTGTAACCGGGCGACCTCCTCGTCCGGTAGCAGCTGCAAGATCTGTGACTTCTTCACGAACGACTTCAAACGGAAGACCAAATATTCCACCTAATCGTCCAAATGTACAACCTGCGTGTTGTATGCCTGCATGTTGTATGCAGTTTCAAATGGAATCGAACAACGTAAACAAGCTACGGAACCAGCAGACCGCCGTAATGGGCATGCTTATCAATCCCAATGCTGGACCGCGTGGTAAGCTTCGATAAATGCAATTCGAAGAAACGAATGAAACGTGCTGCGGCATATATTTTGGCAGATAAAAATGTTAATTCATTAAGCAGTACGGTTTGCGAAATCGCTTTAAATAGAATTTCGCTACTCGGTCTTCACAGAATAAATGGACAGCAGCGTATTAAGTTAAAAAAAAGTATAAATTGAAAACAATAGCGCTTTCTCCATCACGCTCGTTCATCGGCAACATTTTATCATTAACGGATAATATTATTAGCGTTTATAAAAGTTCGCTCAAATAAATATATACTTTCTTTTTATAATTCGTAGGTTTGCTCAAGTTTCCGCCACCACCCACGGAACCACCGCCGCCGCACGAGCCTCAAGGGTTCAAGTTACCACCCCTTAACGGTGACCATAATAGTAAGATTTCTGATCATTTCAATAAAGGAATGCAAACGTCACAAGAATGGAGTGCGAATCAAATGACCAACGCGCTGGATCGAGAAAGGAGGAAGGAAGATAGCGCCGCGTATGCGGTAGCTAACAGAAGGGTGCCTCCTCAGAAACCGGCGCCTCCGAAATTACCAAAAGTTAGAGCCTTATACGACTACGAGCCGCAAGATCTGGATGAATTAGGGCTCAAGGAAGGCGATATTGTGGAAGTATTCAAAGAACGTGAGTTGTTACATCCGATCTTGTTTGTATAATAAGTGATAAGTTGAGCAGCAACATACGTGAGAAGAGAGCAAAGTCGATACTGTATATAATTTCGTACTAGAATTTCTTATTCCACTGATACAAAGTGGAAATTGTGAAATCGATTAATATATTTGTCAGAAGTAAACATTTGTGGCATTAGTTCCGGTTTACGCGTTAAAAGTTAAAATCATATTTCTTTCAGATGAAGGTGGTTGGTGGCACGGAAGACTGAAGGGAAAGACTGGTCTTTTCCCTTCCAACTACGTAGAAAAGATATGAATTCTGTAACCAATAGCGAATCGAAAAATTCCATTGACATTGCATGAAACCGGAAATGTAACTCTGATAAGTACATTGTACCTGTTATTTACAGTTTTCATGTTCCATAATATACCTATTGTTATACGCGAGTCTTTAAATAATAGCAACAAGTTCATCAATACCAAAGCCAAGAAAAATCAAAGAATTCACAATTGAAAGAAGGCGCGATAATAATTTTGTGAAGATGTTCATTTCAGCAAAGCTGGTGAAAAACCCAATACACAATATAATAGTAGTTGTGGGATTATTGTATTATCGTTCAAACCTAAATGTCCAAAGAAACTTTTCTCATAATTCAATGATTAGTCTGGTAAACTTTGTCTGATGAAGTATTTCCGTGATGAGATTTAAGAGCCAATATGTCCGTAAGATACATTGCCTCTATTGTTAACTAGTGTACGATATAGATATGTAATCTGTTTATCTTTTCGTAATGTACAGCGCGATTGATATTTATATAGTCAACACATTGTCACGATTACCAACGCGACGGTGACCAGCAGTCATTACACGAATCACACGAGCGTGTAACGACACATGGTGTATATAGCATCACTGCCATCACACAAATACATGCTAATAAAATCGTATTATCTCGACAATTTTGTTGCTTTCTATCAACTTAAACTATTCCTTATATCTCTTGTATGGTATGCCACATTATTTTCTCTTAAGCACTTGATTTACGCAAGATATCAAACAGAAAGCTTTCATTTTCATCCCAGAATTCGACTTATACATGCAGTTTATTATTATAATAAGAATAAAATGGCACTCTTAGTATCATCAACATCATATTTATTGTTTCCTTCTGCAGTGCTTTATAAGTCTTCCCTTATTAATGGCGAATATTGCGTGATACGTTTTCTTTTTTTCCTTTGTTCGCTCGCACTCTCACATACATTACGATTAACATCGGCAAAGGAAAATAGAACGGTACATCTCCACAAGACTATAGCATTGGCAAGAACGATTATCTTTACAATAATTCTTTCGTATAGTAGTACAGAGTAAAATAAATTAAAGTTAATTCAGTGTGCTACAGTTTTATAAACATACCAGTATTCATAGGCACTAGAATAATAAATTATTGCTAAATTATTTGTCGCTTAATCCAATAGCCCCTAGTCGCGTTTGTCCCTAGACAGCGAGATATTCAAATACCGTGTTGAAGTCAGTATAATATACATATACATTTGGTTTGCCTATTTAGATTTTAGAATGCATTGAACTCCACAATGAGATCGTATAATGAGCGATTCATTCGGTCTAACAGAGCAGAGATCACTTTCCAACTTAGAACATCTATTGTTTCTCAATGTTCCAATCCTATATATTTTAACAACTATCTCCTCTTTTACTAAGGACCAACTTCAGCAATATTCTATGACTCTAGCTTAACGAATTTTCTGCGGGAAATAAACAAAATACAAGGAGCAAAGTTACAAGTAAAAATATAAAATTGTTTAAAGTGCTACAATACTCGATTTAATTATAGATATATATTATGATGTCAAGAGGAGATAATTCCCCAATGTTCTCATAAGCTTTAATTGCATATACTCTAAATACGTGTCGATAATTATACGATGCTTTCAGAAGGATTTTATATGGTCTGCTTGGAACATATATACATATCTCCGAATCAATTGTCACACTGTCCGCAATTGTATCGACGCTCCAATATTTCAAGCATCCGCGCAATATCTTCGACACATACATATTGTAATACAGTTTTAATAATTACATAGCGTTGTACATTAACGCAAAATTCAAAATTTATTTCAACAAAGATTATTCAACAGAGACAACATAATTTCAATTTCAAGATTATACTACATTGAATCGTAAGTAGAATGGCATCGACAAATACATTCAAAACTTTGCTCAGTGGAAAATTTGGATAACATTCACTGTGATTGTCAAGCATAACACACAGAAAACAACTATAATCTCCATATGCTCTATTTTTAACTCGTTATTTCATGAATTCTATGAAAACACAATTATGACTTTTCCAAATTTTTTCCTATGCTACGGACATTAATAAAAGAAATCGATATTTTAAAAATTAGAGTATTTTTCTCAATATCTAAACATTAGATTTGTGACCTCATGATGAAATCACAATGAAAGAAAGAGTTAAGAAATAAAACTTTATCATGTGTTATGAAAAGTAGATGTACACCTGTATCCCATATATTGCTTTTAGTAGGTAAACCCTGCTCTGTATTCTCCATATTACGGAGCAATTGTGCTGAAAAATGTACTTTTTGTCACAATATTTATCAACAATTTCGCGTCGAAATACATTTCTGTAGCAGTTATAAAAAAATGATACTAGTTTATCAGCCAGTTCCAAAAGGAACAACAAATGTAATATTCGTTATAATTCCCTTCCTCCGAGATCCGTTAAACCGAAAAATGTTTGAGCGGACAAATTTGGTTTTTTTTTACATACACATATAACGTTAGCCAAAACACTTAAATATAACGCACCATTTTGTTATAGAAAGTTATAGTCAACATAATAGTCTTATTACACGCAGATATACCACATATAAGAATTAGTCTTAGTAAAAATTAGTCTACGGTTTCTTTTAAAATTGCTTACCGTCAATAAGATTGTCGGATTTGTTGCATTGCCCTGCACGTACAAACCCGTCAAATAGGATGTAAAAAGTATATCAATTCGTTCGTATGGCACAAATAGAGTACATGCGAATGCTCGACGGGAACGACCGTTGCGAATACGAAACTATACATAACGCTGACATGATTCACTTTCCGCAAGAGTTCCATCATTATTTTTCCGTGAATCGACTTGCACCGATAATATCGCGAGATATATTTGCTAAATTACGTTTTACGTATCTCTCGCGTGTTCTTGTATAACAATGCACTTTAACTTTCTTTGGCTTTCCGGTATTAAATCTCTTAATAATTAAGTCATACAATAATTTCTCACATAAATCAAATGTCTAAAGTTCACTTACAAGAAAGAACTGTATTCAATTTATACTCTCTGGAACCTGCTACTAATTTATACATGAACAAAGTCTCTTAAAATATATAACACTAAATAGCTTTGTAATTAGATCTTGAATCTCGTCATATTCTTATCACTAATTTTCACTCTTTCCGAGCTCCGTTTCATTTGCGCTCTTATTTTGCTCGCCTCATATTTTATTTGAAAAAAAAGAAAATTATATATCTTTCCGTTTACTTCTTGATTGTAAACTGTTCTGCACCATTTTTCATTTCGTAGCACAAAATCCAATTAACGAGCAACATTTCACTTCGAGGATGAAATGCTCATATTATGTAATCGATATAGTGCTTGATAACATACAAAAAATTATTTAATCATTATTTGATGATTCAACGTTTTCCGACGTTTAAATTATTTTCTTGCTTTCGTTGTGAATTGTTGATCGACGAGCTTGTATTAAAAACAAAAATGGAGAAATTCTTTTGATTTGCCTATTAATAAATTAATCTACAATGCACAATAAAAAAATGCATTTCTAAAAAAAGACCTGTTCGTAACTAGTAACCATGAAATGTCACACTTAGCTCTCCAACACCTAATTCTGTTGATTTTTTGGCAACACCACAGCAACATGGGTCATGCCTGCAAATGTAAAAAATTTGTACTTTGATTACTATTTCTTATAAAAGAATTTTTGACAAGATAGATAACACTCAAATAATTAAACAAAAAAGCTTATTATAAATTGTGCTGTACTAAAAATTAGTCTGCTCTAATCTATATTTAATAAAAAGCTCTAATCTATTTAACAAAAAGCTATTTAATAATAAAAGTAAAGAAATTTAACTAGTAAAACTTTAACAAATAAAGATCAAGAAATTTAATTTAAAATTTATTTAACAGTAAAATTAATTATCGAAATTAATGAAAAGAGAAGAACTTAAATGATCTTATGCAACTGATAAATTAATTGTATTTACCTCCGATTTTCTTTATTTTTTAAAACTCACTATTTAATATATAACTTACCTTCACAATAGTATCGAAAAAACGTGATACACAATTAACTCCTCATTGCACAACGCAATTTTTGTTTCGTTGAGCTAGTCCAGCGCGAGATAAATCGCGCTCTATTTCGTCATCGTCCTCAATGCTAGAAATGATTGAAAAGAGCAAAATTTAATAATTTTAAATAAGTAATAACATAACAGATGTCTATTATACACTTACGCTCTCTCTTGTGTATCGAGATGATGCACTAATTCATCCCTTTTGTTCACAATAGACACTAATTCCTCCAACAATAAATTTTCACGCATTTTTTGTTCGGGTGTTTTCCGCCAATCTTCCACCGCGAGGATGCTTCTTAATTCGTGATTCAAGAGCTCAAATCTTCGCTCTAAATCATCTTCTTTTTCCCTAAATATTAAAAGTTCCACTTATTAAAACTTTAAATTGTAATAATCTTCCTATCCAATTTTTAGTCGAAATTAAAAATATGTGAAGAATAATATGCTTAAAGCACTTACAATATGTTTAATTGCATCTGTCTTCTTAAGAGCGCATTTTTTTTGTTAACAAGTGTGAACCATAGAGACATCAGTCTTTCCGTTTCGTCCTCGTTATCGCTCTCCATGGCTGCTCTCAATTGCTTTTCAAGCTTGCCAGCTTGTATGTCAATCTGATTCTGTTCTCTTTCAAGTGCTTCGAGCTCGTTTTGAATATATGATGTCATGTCTTTACCCAACTAAACTCGATAAATATAAGCAATTCAGTACAAGTCATTTCAAGTACTGTACAAGTGTCGCAACTTGTTTAATTATACTGGAAAATTATACTAAATTAATAATTCAAGTTAACATACCCCTCGAAGTGTGTACGGAGTTCTGTCTGGACTGCCCTTATCGGGCGAGATTCTTTCAATGATTTTGGAGAAGGAATACAGAGGTGAACCAGTTTTCTTTTCTCCATCTATCACACTCGAGTTCCCCAATATATTTCCATTGTACTCAGACTATAGAATTAATTGTAATTTATTGTCTTGTTACATAATTGAGTGAAAAAAAGATATCGAAAAAGTAAATCGCATGGATCATTTGCAATACCTTTATACTGATCCGATCACCGGGTGTCGACGGCGTGATACTCCGTCTAGGGCTATTATTCTGATCGTCTATCGATCGTCTGTCACTATTGTTGTCGTCGTTCAGTTGACTCGGAGTCACAGCGACGCCCATTTTCACTTCTGCTATCAAGCGTCTCGCCCTTTCCCTCAACTGCTGTTGCCTTTCGTCGTCGTTCTGTGTCTACAAAGTTACAGGCACATTAAACGTCCACAGTACTGTTCGATTACTAGGAAATTGTTTAACGCTATGTAAATAAAAGTGTAGAACCTCGACAGGACTGGTGGGGGAAACAAACCCGGATGGCTTCGTCTGATTCCTGGCTTGTTCTAGGAGTTGTCTTGCTCGCTCTCGTAATTCATCGTGTCGGCTAGCTAAAGGCTAATACAAAAAGAAAATCATACAACCTTAAACGATTAGTACGATTATTGAGCGTTTATATAACATTTTCGTTAATTTATTTTGAATAACTTTGGTTTTGTTAAGATATTGACATGGTATGACGTTAGCAAGCGATATTGAAAGCAAATATTGTTAATTACATGTTGTGAACGTTGTTCTCCATACGGCGGCGATGCACCTTGACATTCGGAACTACCTCGACTTCCTCTATCGTCAGAGTTTACCGAGTCCTACAAAAGACTGTTCTCAATATGTTTGCGCAGCTTTGTTGCGTCACGGTATTGTTGCAAAGCTTCTTTATGAATACACGATTCAGACTAAGAATATATTCGCACGCGGGAAAAATCAATAAACGCAGATTATTAAAGCAATAATGTAATTACATCACATAAAATTGTCAAGTTTACAAATTGTTTTCGATTAGATCTTCTAATTATGCCATCACATATTAAAAAAATTTTTGTGTTGCTTCCAAACACTCGTTACATTAAGAAAAAAGTATAAAATCTGCAAAAAAGAAGAAACTAAATCTTACTGAAATAAATTTGACTTGGAATACTTATAGACACTCTGTTATGGAATGTGTAAGAGTTTGCGAGGTCTATCTCTTAGAGATATATTTTTTACAGCATGTAAACTCACAATATCAAACATCTTGAAAGTAAAAAAAAACAATTATAAAGTCATGTATACTAAAATTGGTTGAAAAATAAAAACGTTAAAGTAAAATTTGCGCCAGGGAATTTTGAAAGCGAAGCTTATGGAACAGCCCGTACAAATCTACGTCATTTCGTGCATCGCGGAACATATTATGCGCGATTTCCTCATGCATATTTACATGCAGTTATATACGCGTGTGTTATGTAGGCGTAATCCCGCTGCCGCCAAGAAGCGCGATTTACAATCTGTTGGCCTATAATGAATAAAAAGTGAAGTAACGGACGTCTTTTAGACAATGCATTTTGACACAATCCGCCGCTGAAAAGAAATAACGGAAAGAGATAAAACAGTGCGCGTTATGGGTTTATTGTTAATGCAGCGAGGTATAACAGAAGGAATGCATAAAAAGCGACAGTCTGCGCAATCTCGTATATACTGACATCACGGATCGGACTTTGCGATTTGGTAAGCGAGATCGATTGCGACCATTTGTCGTCGATTATCTGTATGTTCTCCTCTTCGTCGTCGGAGCCGAACGGATCGGTTAATTGCCGGCGTGTCATAAGTATCGGACGTTGCTGCGCTTGTTGCACTCTCGGCGGAGACTTGCTCTGCGGTAAATTGGTATTTCATTTCCTCACAACGAAAGAAACTTGCGCGCGAATTAACCGGCGGATATTATACGCGACCATTTCTCCAGACAACACTCGGGAATAATCGCAACGTCGAGGTTGACCCCGAGCTTAGCCCGTGCATCGCTACGTACCTTCTCCCTCGACGAGTATTTTTCCTTGGTCGGCGACAGCACCTTGCCCAGGATGCTCTTTGAGCTGGCCAATATGATATCCTTGACCTCCTTCACGCTGGACGGCGATTTGTCCTTGTTATATTGATCGTGATCCTGACCGTCCGTGTTCAGGCTCAAGTGCAGCTTGTTTTTTAGCGAGTCGATGCAAATATCGTCCTTCTTATTATCGAACGGGTTCGACCTATGATAATGAGACGTAGTTTCTATTTCTAATCTTGCTCCTGATAAATATTTCCGCTGAGAAATGCACTTTGGACTGGCAACTTGACAGATTACATAACGTCATTGAGAATGTATTTACCGTCTGTTACTCTCCGCTTTATTGTTTTTCTGATCGATCTGCTCTTTTTTCCGTAAATTAATTATCTCCTGCCCAAACAGTTGAACACTTACGTCAGTGTTGTTGTCTGTATTAAATCTGCCAATCATGTAAGATGATTCGTCTGTTGTTTTACCTATTTGATGTACCTAGATTTTTTTAAAAAGCAATATATTGTTATTCGTATTGTGCGCCATTGGATACAGTATTACAATACATAAAAAAAATGTCGTAGATATACCTCCAATTCGTGGCCCGTAAAATGCGCTCTCAATTGATACAAATACGTCATCACAGCTAATTTATCAGGTACCGTTAATATATCCATGTCAGCTGGCTCGATAACTCTGGGTATGCCCAGAGTCTCACCCGCGTCGAACGCTTTCTTGCAGTTGCCTTTAACATCGTGCGGCAACAGGGAGTCGATGTCTCTACAAGTTTTTATTTTGGCTATTATTCAATTTGAAAGTAACACATAATCGAAATTCTGTTGCACGTGCCGCTATAAATGTACAAGCGTGTCGACCTTTCCAGCATTAAAAATAATCGCCCAAATGTTGGCACGAGTTACTCGACGCAAGACAATGACGATTTCAAAGTGTTTATTAATGGAATACGCGAATAAAATAACTGGCACACTGCCAGGATTGTGTCTATTGACATTTTGTTCCGAGAAAAGGTAGCGCGAAGAATGAAATGCTACTCCTTTGACAATTATAGTATCCGATCGAGACGAATGTCAAGGAATGCCTACATCAGATCAGGTCTGAAGTGACGAATAATGGCGCAAAACGCCATTCCGTTTCTCCAAGATGTCGTCAGATTGGTGACTTTGACGCCGGGATAATCCTTTGTGACTTCCTTACACCATTCCAACAGGTCTTGGCCGGGCGTAATCTCTTTCAGTCTTGGAATATTCGCGTCATTCTTTTTAAGATCCAACGGTTGCAGCGGCAGTCTCAATGTGCTATGCTCAATATTTTTACTGCAACGAAAGGTTGTAATTATTATATCATTTATCTAGAATAGTAAGAGGAAAGTCTATTATGAGACAGTAGGTTTCCAACGTCCAAATTCAATCACAAATCTCTTTTCGCGCAGATTACACGATCTAACGTTCAATTTTTCACTAAACAGACTTCACTCCAAGGGCAATAAATTCACGGTGAAACCAACAGACGATGCCTATTAATTTAGCAGAAACTCCGCCATCTTATATTAGGAGTCTATCTCATAATAGGAGACTTTAACAACAAAAATAGTATGCTCTTTACAAATGAAAGAAGTACGTGGTAAACTCTTTGCAAAAGTAATATTTAAAATGATCACTACCGATTGTATTATTTTAATATTGTACTTTATTAGCGCATGCGCGCGCTATTTCGCCAGGTCTAATACTACGACAGTATACGTACTCATTTTCCACGGCAACATTATCTTTTACGGGTGATTTTTCTTTCAGGGGATCTCCAATTCCTGTTAGACTAATGTCACGTATAAAATGCTCTCCATCGTTCACAGGTGTCGTATCATCCTTTGATAAACTCGCCACTGTACACATATCATGTACTTCATTAGTATATTTAGTTCCACAAATTATAATAAAATTGATAAAGTAATAAGTTAGAATTAAGATAGCAATTAGGAATTTTATGTTTAACAGTTTCAAAACGAAAAACAAACGAGGCTCACCACTTATAGGTGTACTGGGTAATTCACTTTCGGTAAGACTGCTCGTCATTAAATCAAGCTGAGTTGAAATATCTAAAATCTCGTCCAAATTTTTTACCGACACTTCTTCAACGTCTTCAGGTATATCTTCGTTATCAAAATCATCTAACGGCGCAATGTCGCTATTGTTATTAACCGACATTAAACTAGCCATACTTTGCATATCCTCGTCCCTAGAAAAGTTAAGAGACTGTTAATTTTTCATCAGTTTCTTCACATTGCGTTAAAAATTAGTAAATAAGTACAATGGGTAAACGGATAGAATTAGTGAACAAATATTCATTGAAAATGCAAATAAATGGCATTTCAATAACAAGACATCTTGAGGTAAACTAACAGATTTAGTGCGTCAGCTCTAGAACGTATTATTTAATATCTCTACCTCATTTGAATAACATTTAGCTACATAAATGGTACGTGCTTCCGGCAAGCTTATGAAGTTAATTAGCAGCGCGTGAATGAAATTAAAGCGCACACTTACGTCGCCTTGCCCTCTCGCAGGAACACGCATGATAAAGTGCATTCGAGCGTGGAGCTAACGATCTTTTTAGAAGTTGGCTTCAGGTCCAATTTGAGTTGTTGTTGACTAGATTCTAGGGTCGCATATTTTTTCATATTTATATTAGTGGCAGCGACATGACGCCTCTTTCCCGTTGACGAGACCTGCGGAATAGAACAATATATA